GAAAACAAAATGACATCACATATAATGAGAAATTGAGAAACTGATGCAATAATGACAGTTTAATAAATTTTACTTGTTCATATAGTGTCATTTTGTATGTGGTTATGTACTGGAAATGTAACCTATATGAATGTTATCATGACATTATGCCTTAAATAATGACATTGTATGAATATGTGTTAGGTTGAAAACAAAATGACATCATATATAATGAGAAATTGAGAAACTGATGCAATAATGACAGTTTAATAAATTTTACTTGTTCATATAGTGTCATTTTGTATGTGGTTATGTACTGGAAATGTAACCTTATATGAATGTTATCATGACATTATGCATTAAATAATGACATTGTATGAATATGTGTGAGCTTCAAAGCAAAATGACATCACATATAATGAGAAATTGAGAAACTAATGCAATAATGACAGTTTAATAAATTTTACTTGTTCATATAGTGTCATTTTGTATGTGGTTATGTACTGGAAATGTAACCTTATATGAATGTTATCATGACATTATGCATTAAATAATGACATTGTATGAATATGTGTGAGCTTCAAAGCAAAATGACATCACATATAATGAGAAATTGAGAAACTGATGCAATAATGACAGTTTAATAAATTTTACTTGCTCATATAGTGTCATTTTGTATGAAGTGTCATTATTGTTAGTCATTTACATGGTGATTAAAGTGCATATATATGTGTGAACTTGACAGACAATAACAAGAGCTTTTAAGAAGTCAGTGTTACTGAAGTTGGAAGACTTGTGTGTCAACTCCTACTGTAATGTTGGTGAGGTTCTTAAGAAAATAAAGACATATCTAAGCACAGAGGAACTGACAGAGTTCAAGAATACTGTATTTGGTTGGATGTTAAGAATAGAAGATATTCCTTGGCTGAGTGGACAATTGATTTTGGGATTGATTGGAAACTTTGTGACTCAAGTTAATGGAAAGACAGATGACAGTGTCATCAGGTTTAACATTAAAGACAGTGTGATCAGTTTTCAGAAGCATGATCTTGCAGTAATGTGTGCTTTAAAGTTTGGAGCTGTGAAACCAAATATTTCTGAAGAGCTTGAGGGAGATATATGGACAAATTATTTAGGAGGCAAGACAACTGTGACTCGTGCAGATATTCAGAATGCATTGAAGAATTACAAGAACACTGATGATAGCAGACTGACAAATGATGGAGTCAAACTGGCACTACTATACATAGTTTCACACTGCTTATTTGGGAATCAAGCTGCTAGACCCATGAAGGCATACTACATAAATTTAGTTGATGACTTGGATGCATTCAATGCTTATCCATGGGGTGATGACGTTTGGGTGGACTTGGTTAACAAGGTGAAAAAGAGCTGTGAGGCACTAGATAAAGGAAAAGCAGACAGAGTAACATTCCCTGGCTTCATAATGGCATTCCAGTGGTGGGCATTTGAAACTTTTCCTGGTTTAGCAAAGGCTGGCTTATGCAAAGTCATCAAGGGGACAAGACATATCATACCAAGGACTCTAAAGTGGGAGTTTAAAAAAAACCTACACTGGAGGTCCTTTCTGAAATTATATTCAAGAATGACAAGGTATGTTATTGATTAATATGTAAATTTTTAAATGTTTATGTGCACACATTGTTTACTAACATGGTTTTTTGTTTTAGTTTGAATGGGCACAGATAGTACCAACTGCAGATGAGATTGCTATGATAGAAGAGGGAAATGACATAAATGAGGAGGTGATGCACCTTGTGATAAACAATGTTGGCAGGATTGATGCTCAAAAGCCAAATACTATTGTAGCAAAAGGGAAACAAAAGTTGATGCAGGCCAAAGTATTCAAAAGAAAAAAAAACAAAAGCTGGGAGGAGCACAGGTAAAGCAATCAAATCTCAAGAAGGGCCTTCTAGAAGAAGAAGAAACAATACTACAGTAGAAAAAGAGAGTGATGATGATTCAAGTGATCAAGAAAGTGATGAAGGTGAAGAGACCGATAGTGATGATTCTAGTGAGAGTGGAAGGGAAGCAGATAAGTATGTATTCTTCATGAGCAAAGACAGCAAAAGTATTAAAAAGAGCATTAGAAAACAAGCAAAGGAGACTGCCAGATTAGTGGCAGAAATGAAAAATATGAAGAAGAATCAAAAAAAGCAAGAGGATCTTTTGAAAGATGTCATTCTGATGCTCAACAAAATGTCACAGGGTGTTGAGAAGAGTGAGCCTACAAAAGCAACTGCAGAGGGTGATACAGATGAAGAAGAAAGTGGAGAAGAAAAAGAAGAAAATGAAAAAGAAAAAGAAGATGATGTGATAGCCATGACTGGGCCAGATTCTGAGAATGATGTTGCTGATATGGCTGTGGAAGAGGACACTAGGTTGATGAATGCAGAGGCTGAGGATGGTGTTGTATAGAATGATGATGTTGTAGAGAATGAGCATGCTAGTAAAGAGAAACAAGCAGCAAATGTTCAGAGTGAGGATTCATGTGTGAATAAGGATGCTGATGCAGAGGTTGAGGATGATAAAGAAGAGAATGAGGATGCAGAAAGAAATGAAAACGAAATGCAAGAGAAGAACACTGAGGAGATAGAAAAGAACACTGAAGAAGCAATTTGTGACATGCCTACATTCAAAATACTCACTCAGTCTCAAGGTAGTCAGAAAAAAATTGAAGACAGTGTCCAAATGCAAGAGGAGGGACTACCTGCACAGGAAAATAAAAAAGACACTGGTGAGTCTGCTTGGGGGATGGGCTCACAGGAAAATAGTCAGTTTGTCCAAGAGATGTGCAGGAGTGCAGATGAAGTGGCAAAAAAGGCTTTTGAAAGCTATTCTTCTAATCCATGCAGAGCACTCATAATAACTGATCAGGTAAATGCAAAAACTCAGTAAAATGCCAGTCATGTGGCATTTTCAATTGTTAAACTGACATTCAACTGCCAATGTTTATGAACATTTTGTACTATGACATTGACTGTATCTTACTTCTTTTAAATAAACATATAACAACATAGTAAATAATATATATTATGCCAATGCCTTAGGAGGATCTTCCCAAACAAAAGCGTGTTGTTAGGTCACCAGTGAAGTACATGGGAACTGAGCATGCATCAAAGAGGAGGAAGAGAGAAAAGGGAAAGAAAAGAGAAGATGATGAATTTCTGCCACCTCTGAAGCAAATAATTGGACCTTTCTCTGAAGATCCAACAGAGAACCCACCGGTTGAAGAAATACAGAAGGTGAAAGAATACTTAGAAGTTGGATTGCTGAAGAACTTCACAAAAAACAAAACTGGCAGAAGGTACAAAAAGGACGAAGACAGAATGACCAACAAACCATTCTTGCTAGATACAATGAAAGTTGAATCAAAAACATGGTTATATGACCTGTTTATGAATCACCAATGGATCACTGACAAGGTACGCATACAAATGATCATATAGTTGTCAGTTTAATGACAAAGTGTAAATTTAAATACATCTGAGTCAGTACAGAATGACATTATTAGTCAGTTTGCTTTACCTTTAAATGATAAATGTGTATTTTACTTCTTACAGCATGTTGAGGTAGTAATGTACTATTTGGGCATGAAAAGGGTGCATTACAAACTGCCACAGAAGTATACCACAACTGGCCCTTTTTTCTTGCAAATACTCAAGCGTGAACTTGACACAATATCAAAGGGGCACTACACATACCACAAGTCAGCAGAACAAGATAACATTGTGCGTGAAATCATAGGTGCTAACAACTATAGCCTACACTGGAGCAAGGCAGACTATGTGTACTTTCCTCTGAATACTGGCAATCATTGGGTGTTGTTAGTACTAGATATCAAGCAAAGAAAAGTTAGGGTGTACAATTCAAATGCTAGAAGAGGTGATTCACTGAGGGATATCAGATCCTATTATGCAAGCATAACTGTGCTCCTGCCCAGAATTATGGATTATCACAGAGTCTACGAACTGATGGGTGAAGAGATTATGGGTGAACGGTATTTGGAAGTAGATCCTGTAGAAGGATGTCCACAACAAGATGATGGGTAAGAGCATATAAATTTACTTAAACAGATTGCGTAATAGTGAACTTCTTTATTATTTTTAAAAAATGTTTTTTCTTTATGTTATGCATCAGGGGAAACTGTGGAATATACATGTTGAAGATGGCAGAATTTCTAATGGTAGAGATGGACATGGATGCCATATATCCTGAAGCAATACCCTTGTTTAGGGAAAAAATGGCAACTGAGCTGGTTCTATACCGCCAGAGAAGGCAGGCTGAGAAAGAATGAAGTGCAGCTTTTAATATGTAATAGTACTTTTGGAACATCCAGTACATTTGTTTTGAAACAATTATGCTTATCCTTTGTTATTGTTTTGAAACAATTATGTTTATCATTTGTGATTGTTTTCGAACAGCATGTTGTTTGACTTTGTTATTGTTTTTCGAACAGAACCTATGAATGTATGTTTCAAATGGTAATAGTTCATAGGATACTTGTGTTCATCTATACTTGTGTTAATTTTTAGATGACATTTGTGGTATCATCAATTGACATGATATATAAACATATGTCATTTTTAATAATTAAAATGACATCAGAGAATTGATCTGCAATTGTGAGTAAAGAACATTTGAATGATAGAATTTTGTTTATATGCAGAATGGCTAAATCAATACCTTAAATGTTTAAGGAAATTATAACTACTTCCAATGAGTTGGCAAAGGTAAATCACTGGGTATTCATTGGAATGGGATTCCTGCAAGTTTATTCAATTATGTTTATGTACAGGATACTTGTAGTTTCATATGCAAGGATTGTTTGTGGGGTCAGATTTGAGTACATGAAGCATGTAAATGACATAAAATGACAGTTACATGACATTTTTTAGAAACCCAAATGACATCAACAATGAACAATATCAATTACGCATATACAATAGGACATCACAATATTGACATGCCATTGTGGGCAATGGAAATGGCTAAATTTATTACACTGACATCAAATGTCAAATACATCATTGACTTCTATCCATAACAAACTGTCATCAATGGTGAACAGAAATTGCCATCAAATCTGACATATGTCAGTTACGACTAAACAAAATGCCAAAACACAAGGCCTGAAAACTAAATGGCAGAACATTTAAACAAATGATAACTGTGTCCAAACCACATAATAGAATTCTTAAAAGTACTTTATAAAAACAAAAGACAAAATACAATGAATTAGACATGGGTATCACTGGGTATTGATTGGAATGAGATTCCTACAAGTTTTCTTATTATGGCCAAGCACATGGCATCTAGAACATTTTTTATTTTTTGAACCTCTATATTCTCCAATGGATGGAATCCTGGATTTCTTCGGGCGACCAGGAGGACGCTTCATACAAGTTGGTGGCTTGCATAGTTGGTTTTGAATAGTAGCAGGAACAGACCAACTGTCACGATCAACAATTGGATGCATAATACCAGACCATGTAGCAAGCCAAGCATCTCTAGTATAAAAAGGAGAAATGTAAGTATAACATGACAGATGTGGGCGTATAGCAATTGCAGCAACAGCATGAACACAAACAAAGTGATCTAGTTGAAAGTAGCCACAAGTACAACTTCTAGAGTTGAGATTTACCACAAAGGACGTGCATCTGCTATCAACAACTTCAAATTCATATGCACATGATGGTTTCACCTAGGAAATGGCCAAAATATGAATATCAAATTAGAATAAAAATGAAGTACCTAAACAATATACTAACACAAGAACAAAACTGACAGATATGCAGAATCAAAATGACATAGTGATAAACAAAGTGGCATTATATAACCAGATAAAAAACTGAGAACTGACTTATGGTTAAAAATCAGCTTTGACATACCTTCATACGTGTAGCTTCAGCTTGCAAAGCTACAAGACGTTTCTCACATTTCCGTGTGAGTATAGTACTTGTTTTCTCAGCTTTATCTTTCCTCTCTGTGAACCATTGTTGCATCCTTTCACGCAAAAAATCAACAAGTTTAGAGACTGAATACTCTCTTGCACATACATTGACTTTGTTCATAGACTCAGCACAATTGGAGGTCATAATATTATATCTCTTTGGTCCAGAAATTACTTTTGACCATGTGTTAGCACCTATTTTGTCTAGCCAAGTCCTTATCCTGGAGTTTTCAGAATCCAACATGGATAAGTAGTCATCATATTCTTTAACAGTTGCTGCCATATAGGCAGCTTTGAACTTCCATCCCAAAGTAGCTGCAGATCCTCTAAATTTGTGTGTCATGTTACGACGCAGATGAGCAACACAAAAACCATGGCTAGCATGTGGCAAGATTTCAGAAACAGCCTTTATAAGACCTTTATGCCTATCAGATACTACATAAAGGTCGTGTCTGTACTGTATTGACTGACAGACTTTGGATAAAAACCATTTCCAAGAAGATTTTGTTTCAGACTCACAAATACCAAATGCAATAGGAACTATGTGATCATTGGCATCTTGACAACAAGCTGTAAGAAGAGTGCCTTTATAGTAAGCCTTCAGGAATGAACCATCCAGTATAAGAACAGGTCTACAGTGAGGCCAAGCTTCTATCCATGCTCTGAATGACATAAAAAAGGTACAAAATGCATCATCCTTCCCTGTGACTAGATCAAACATAGAGCCAGGATTCGCCATCTCAAGCACATAAGCCATAGAAGGCAAAATCTGATAGGATTCAAGATCAGAACCAAATTGCAGCTGCATTGCTTTCTTCTGTGCTTTCCAAGATTTTTTGTATGACATGGAAATTCCATATTGCATACTCATGTCTTCACGAATTTGTTTTGGTGGGTACGGTTTATTGGAAGCATCAAGGTATTTATGTGCAATAAGTTTTGCTATCACAGTAGCAGTTGCCTGTCTATGTTTGCCTTGTCTATAATCAATAGAGCATGTGTGTTCTGGACAGAATCTAAAATGACAAAACAATGGCATTTTTATACAAGTGAGTAATATACAATTGACATTCTTGGACAAGAATGTCACCAATACATGGCATTCTGATAAACAAGAATTAACAACGAAGTCAAACAAAAAGAATGAAATAAGAAGTTACCTTCTAATTTGAAACATTTGTACGCCAGGTAGTCTTACAGCTCGAACAGTCCAACGACATTTTGGATCTAAGCAAATAACATGTAAAGATATTTTCCTAGAGGTCTTTGTTCTGTATTGAAAGTGGTTTGTGATAGCATACATCTTCAGATGGTGGATAAGGTCTGTTTTACTTTTGTAAATAGCATATAGAACAAGACAAGTAGGATGAGACTGTGTGATGACTTCAAAATTGTGGAGAAATGACAGTGACTGAGATGATTCTATTACTAAGCCATCTGACATGTCATCCATGCCTTCATCACTGTCTTCAGATGTTTCAATTTCTACAGCTCTAGACACAGTGTTACTACAAGAAGCAACATCTTGAGAGTGTCTACCAGAGATGTTAACATTTTCAGTGCAAAAAGATGAGCTATGATCAAAAGAGAGTGCAGGTGAGGAGGCATGTTGTTGGGAAGAAACAACAACATTCTCATCAACAAAAAGTGAATGAGTTGAAGAAATGACAACATTTTTAGCTGAAGGAAAAGCAGAAGGTTCAACACCAACAAAAGATGGATATGAAGAAGAGATAGGATAAAACTCAACACAAAGTGGATACTTTAGAAAATCTAGTTGAAGAGACTTGATATAAAGATAAAATGTTAAGGTAGATTGATCATTTATAGTTACAGGAGGAGGGAATCCATCTCTCATATAAGAAAGCCTGAAATTATGATTAGGTTTGTACTGAGAAAGGATGGCAGTCAACATATCAACAAAACAAGCATATTGAACACCATAGTTAACATGAAGCCCACATGTGTGCACATTGGTGAACACATAGTCAGAATCCCAAAAACCATCGACCTTGACCATAACAAGTAAAACAGGATCCATTGTGCAAAAAGGTTCCTAAAAATTGAAGGAAAAACAAATATTTCAGTATAACAGAAACATGAAAGAAGAAAGTTGGTTATACTAAAATGACAGTTTGCGTGAATATGTGACAGTCTCTATAAGGATGTATAAATAATATTTACCACACAAAATGGCAAATCGGCTAACAATACAAAATGACAGTTAGAAATACAAAAGAGCCAGTTATGAAGAACCTAATCTAGTACTTACAGCAAGACACAATTTAAACACCAAGATTAAACGCAGAAATAGCAACATACGAAGAAATTTCATGAAATAAAAGCATTGATAGAGTTGATGAAAAGCAAACGAGCTAAATTATTAACAATAATGAATTTGAAATCGATTATAAAAATTTTGAATTTTTTGTTAATATTGTAGAAGCAAAATACAGAGGAATAAAACATATTGATGATTGCAGAACGACATGTGTACAACGGACGAATTGACATATTCTAGAAGCAAAATGAGAGCAATTGCAACATAAATTTAACCATGATTGGTGAAGAAGGACTATACAGGAAAGTTTCGGTGAACATACTCTGCAAACGAACGAACAATGGCGGAAGAAGATGAATGCAGAGGAGAAGGACGAACAGCTCAAACAAATCGCGAAGAAGATGATTGACGAAGAAGAAGAATAACGCGAAAAAAAAACAGAGTACCTCAACTGACTTCTCAACTGATTTAGGAAACTGATTTTCTGGAAAGAATCTCGATCAAAGAGGGAAACTAACGGAAACTCATAAATGGTTTCACACATGGATTACCGAAAATAGCCGGTAACACCTGCGGCGTAATGGCAAACATAGGCATGGGTATTTTGGATATTGCTTAAAGCGTTAAACATACCCGTAGAACCGTATAACTCCTATTAGGGGGAATAAAACATAGTAAGTCCTATTATGGCTTTTTAAGTAAGTTTTAGTCCTATTATGGACAATTTTTTCTTTAATGAATAATGGACCACCACAAACAAAGACATTTCCTATTTCCCCAAACAAGATAGACCTTCTTTTTCCTAAAAAGAAGTCACTTTCAACCCTCGAAAATATTACTCCCTTTTTCACTTTAAGAGCGAATGAGTCATATTTTAATTATTTTTAGTAGATAGAAAAGGAACAAAATACTCATCACACATTCACATCACTTATGTTTTACTCTTGTTTGCAACAATTTACTTAACATTATTTGCCATCAAGAGGGAAAATGCTCATATCACATATTCACATTTTTGCATGTAACCCATCTGTTTTTTGAAGACCGAAAGAATGTATTTTGTCTTTTTCACACAAGAATTATCTAACTGTATAGCAGAAACACCATCCCGAACAGTTTAGATGTGAAGCCACAGATCTGAGAGGCTTGTCAGAGTAGACTAATATGCTATGCAAACTAATCCGCTAACAAGTGCTGCACCTTTTATGATCCTAGGTGGGTTATCAGGCCTGAGTTCCAAAATATGAAATCAAATGAATAATAGCCGCTGTCACAATTCCTAACAATCCACCAGCAATAACCTGCAACATGAAACATACAGATGTTCTCAGATTTTGAGGAGACAGAAGTTTCTTGCTGCAAATCATGGAGCCCTTTTGAGGAGACAGATGTTTCTTGCGTTTCGGCTCAGTCAAAAAGGTAAAGTCAGAGTTTGGTAAATCTATTAGTGAAAAGAAACAACTCCGAAGTCCAAAGTACTAAAAAAGAGCCAGAAACATGTGTCATAGACCACTTTAATGAGTTTTAACTCTTCAAGAAAAGTTATTAAGATTTATCGTCCTAAATAAGAAAAAAAAGTTGTTAAAACGAGAGAAGTGGAAAAGAGATGGCTACAGTCTGGAGATTTTTATATTGTGTCGTAATTTAAGTAAGAAGAAAAAATTAAAGAAGTTTTGTTAATTGTGTTATTGTTCAAATGAAAAGAAAAAGAAACAGCTGGGGATATTTGAGTTATTTAAACCTTGATAGAAAGAAGAGAAAAATATTTTGGTAAATAGATTTTAGAGCTTTTGATGGGCTAAGTGACCAAGTATTGAAAAATATTAAGCCAAGAAAAGGGGAAATATGAGGCTTAAGGTTCTCATAAAATGCTTTGAGACTCAAGTCTAAATGTTTTCTTCATCGCGTCAGTAGGCGAGCCTCAAAAGCCTCAAAAGGCCTTTTTAAACCAGGCTTGAAATGTATCAGGCTGTAAAGGGAAAACATAAATGACAAACCTGAGGGGGTGTATGACCCAGAAGTTCACGTAGTGGTATGCTTTCGGCAAGAGGATGCTCAGCAGGGAGTTCATATACAATTTGATTGAGAACCTAAGCATGAACCAGATTGAATAAATAAATTAAACCAAGGGTGAAGTGCTATTTTACTCCCCTCACTTATGCAACTTTAGCAACTTGATACCTAGTTGTAACCATTAGGATCTGTTTGGTTGGAGGATTTTGGAGGGGAAGGCTTTCTAGGGGTCAGTTTATATTTTAACAAGTACTTCTTATAATGTTTTTTGCAAGAGAACCAAAGGTGATTGAAATATTATGTGATTACAAATCAGGTTACTCTTTCACTTTTTATAAATTCTCAAATGTAAATGTATATATAGATATAGCCTATATGCTATAACCCCTCCAAAACCGTCCCAGATCTTTAGTGACAGTTTTAGTCCTCCAGACATAACTACTTTAGTCATCAGTTGTTATAGGGGATGATAAAAAAATTAAAACCACTGCAAAATGATACATCCAGGGATGGACTTCTCAAAAGTAAAGAATTAGAATAAAATTGCTACAAGTCCACAACTATAACTGAGGGACCCAAAAGAAGAGCAATTTACTCATGAAGCAGTAAAGTATGAAACTCAATGCAGGGTTGCAACACCTAAACAAATGCATGTTTGCCTCTAAACATGCAATCAAACAGATTCCAGATATGGGTTATCACTTATCAAACCTGTGCTTGGCGTCCCGCTTGTAATCTGACACCTGTAGCGTCGTACATTACCTGCCAAAAGAATGTTTTCCTCACATTAAAGCATTCGCTGCACAACAAACAGTGATAACAGGTATGGGGTGAAAAGGAACAAAAGAGTCACAAACTCTTAGCAAGTGGCAACACTTGATTAAAATTTAAGATTCAATCCAGTTCACCCACAAAAAAGAGCACTAATCAAAATCAACACAATATACTTAACATTTCAAAGAATGAAGATAAATATATAGGCTTTGTTACTTAGCTGGCTGTTGTTACACATAGCTGGTTAGAAGCTAGAAGTTAGCTGTAGGTGTTGCTAGCAGTTAAAAATTAGAATTTAGAAGTAATCAGATGCCAAATCAAATGAGCTAACTGATTTGAACTGCTGGAGTGTTAGTAAAACAAGCTGAAGACTTGAGGCAATTATGATTATAATGACTAAAAGTAGCATCTTTTATGAGATGCATTTATTACTCAACAGAGGATAAAGTTATAAAAAATAGTGTCAGCAATCTTCTCATAAACCATATATCAAATGGGACAGGTTCTCATGATTGTTATTAAAAAGCTTGCTTACATAGCAGTTAGCACCTCTACAAGGTAAAAAACTACTCCTGGCGTCCCATTATGTAGGACTCGGTATTTTGCACTAATTCTAAGGAGACAAAAGGCATCTCGACATTTCCCCCCATATTACCCTAAAAAGCAAGGACGGCTAATTATAAAAGTTGTACGAATACGACAGATGTCATAGCATAAAGATGTAAACTAGAAATGTTTTTTTGGTAGGGAAAATAAAACTACAAACGTTAAGGAAAAGAAAGTAGACATATACTTGTAAAAGAATAGTGGACTTACACAATGGGACAGAGAGAGTAAAAGCTAAGCTTATTGATGCTGCTAACTACAATAATAATACTATGCAATCTTTAAAAGCTTAATTACACATGGCATAAATAAATTAGTCACATAGTTAGACGAGACATGATACATAATTGAACATCTATTCTAAAAATCCCCGCCTACAAAGATATAGCAATAGAACTCCAATGTAAAAAGCGGAAGCGTAATTGCATGATATCTAGGAGCATGTTTGGGACAGCTTCAACATAGACCGTAAGTTGTCTTCAAGAGTATGAGATGTTTTCAGGAAAAAAGTTTTTTTCTTAGGGAGCAGCTTATTTTTTGAAGAAAAGGATCTGCTTTCTTGGAGGATAAAAATTTGTAGACTGAGTATTTTTCAACAACTTATATTTTCTTTCGGCTATTACTTTTCAAACTAATTATTTTAAAACTACTTTCCACAAACTTACCTAAACAAAAACTAATTCTAATTATAATCTGGATTATACATATAGGACCAGTTTGGTGTTGCTAATATTAAGTACTTAGGGTGTGTTTGGGAGTTGGGTTGTGGAGGGGAAGGTTAACGGGGGTTTATGACCCTCCTTTTCATGTTTGGGAGTAAAAAATTGGAGGGGTGGTTTTGGAGGGCTTTTGTAACCCTTCAAAACCCTCCAAATGCTTAATTTTTAAGTTCCCCCAATTAACAAGATGATAATTTAAGCTAAATTAGAAACGAATATCAGCTCAATGATTTGAATTCGTCATATCTCAAAGTGATTTTAATTATAATTCCTTCAAAAACCCTCTCTTTCCAATTTTATTACTCCCAAATACAAAGAAGGGCTTCCTCACCCTCCCCTTCCTTTCCTCTCCGACAACATACCTCCAAAGCCTTCCCCTCCCCTTCCCTCCAAACTCCCAAACATACCCTTAACTGTGGATACAAAGTATTCAAATTCTGTTGTGGGGAAAAAGTTTGTTTTGTAACTTATGACACAAAGTGATATAAATGTACATAGATTTGGGGTTGAGATGCTGTGAGACCTTTTTATGCTAAAAATGGATATTGTAGTTTGAAAGAACCTTTTAACTGCTGCAACTTAAGTTGGTTTAGAAATGTATATTTCAAGCTACAGTACTATTTAATGTTACCAAACCTACTTTTGGATAAAAAACACCATTCCTCGAAAGCTACAGAGCTCATAATCAACTAATGATGTAATTTTTTCAGCTATCCAAGAAAAGGTCCATAATCTCACTTGCAACAATTTTCCAACAAAGATGGAAAGAACTTTATCAGAGCACATAATATTTAATCAAAAATACAAAGGGAGGTAGACTGAGAGTGTTGATACCACGCATGCTAAAATCAATGAAGTAGCGAAAAGTGAACCTCCAAATCCCTCCTGCAAACCAACACCAATGGCAAGAGCAGTTACAGTTGCAGAATGGGATGAAGGCATACCACCAGACCCAACAAGTTGCTTCAGATCCCATCGCCGTTCCTTGTACCTACAAGCCTGCTGGCTTAAATACTCATACAATCCTTTTTCATTGCAGCATAAATATAAATCTATTATTTCACTTTGACATGCAAGCCTAGAACACTTTTCAGGCATCACTTGTGTGAGTTGTGTCAGAAATGCACAACATTGTTTAGGCTGTAGTGAAATTTTAATAATAGTATCTAAAGATGGAACAATTTCCATTTATTAAGAATATACCTTCACAGAATATCTTATCCGGTTATGAGCATTTCTCTGTAAATAATACACCTTGATAAAATAGTGCAACCTTATATGAATGACTATGATTTTAAAATACTCATAAAATCTTTTCCCACATGCAAGTCTAGAATCCTTTTCCATTGCAGCATAAAATTTAATAAATCTAAAGATGGGACATTTACCGCTATCCAAAATCTATGAGCATTTTCCTAGTAAAAATAGAGCAATAGCAAGCTTAAGGAGCTATAAGTTTAGGTATACAGCCGAAGAAACTTAAGGCATAGCTCAAATTACTCTCAAAACATTCAAGATTTCAGTGAAGAAAACAAATTTAAATTGATCCTTAAAAGAAAATGGAAGGTTACCAGACGGTGAAGAATTTGATGGATTGAGCAACGGTGAAGGCAAGAAGAGCAGATATGAGAGGGAAATTCGTAAATATTGATGATGACGATACAGGCGACGTCGCGGCGGAGGCTGTAGTCATTGTTGCTCCGGTAGCGGGAACAGCCTTCCTGATCAACGACACGGTTGATCTAGCCCCCATTTTCATTAACCCCACCGTCTCCCTCCACCTCTAATTCACTTAGCTTTGAACCAATATCCTTCGGATTTGGCAGCAAATACTAGTTCAAGATTTGGATTTTACGTGGAACAGACGTTCTTGATTTTATAATATAAATGCAAGATATCAAGAAGAATCAGATTTCTGAAATCTGAATCAGTGAGCAATTATCCTCATGTCAAGGAGGGCAAGCAAACAGATAATTTCTCTACGATTGTACAAATTTAATTTAAAAAAAATTAGCAAGAAAATAGATTGTTTTCTATATTTCTTGTTCTTGTTTGGTCGATCTTCGGCCGCAGTGGAATATTCGTATGCGTGTGTGGTAAACTCAATTGTATTAGCGGTTTCGAATAGGAAATTTTAGGGGTGGGCATAAAATCCGAACCGAACCGGTATCGAATCGTCCCGTAATGGTATCGAATTGAATACCGGGTATTTAAACGGTTCTATAGATTTTTATCCCGTACCGAAACCGTACCGTTTGAAACGGGTACGGGACCGGTCCTGGATTTTGAGAATCGAAAAAATACCGGACCGAACCGTTCGTAAATAATGCATTTGAATTTTTTATATTTTTTCTATATCAATAGATCTAGACCAACAATTTTATACCCCAAGTATGTATTCATGTGTCCCTAAGATATCTAAAATGTGTTGTTTATATATGCATTGTTAGTTTTTCTTTTTAGATAATTTATGTTATATTTTGGTGTGTATTGAAAGAATATTAAAATTTCAGAAATCATCAATGATTATTTATTTCTAGTAATGTAGTGTACATGACTTTTTGTTGTATCATGTTTGTGCATTTTTTACAACTTAATTAACATGATCTTAACTCTCAATGTTCAATTATAAATTAAATTAGAACTACAGAGTAATATTTAACCTAGAACGAAGAAGAAGAACGTTGAAGATTTTTATTATATTCAACAATTTGATGATATTCATTTTTATATTTTCACATGAACTTAGTAAATTAAAAATGATATTTATCTCGTGTGTCATCGTTTTGCTATACTTTTTCTTAGTTGTGTTGCATTATTTGTGTATTTGTGAATTTTAGTACTACGTATGCAATTTCTTGTATTTATTTCAACATTTCATGTCAGTTGGTTGGTGTGATGGTATCTACTAATTACAAGATTTTTTCAAAAAATTTAGCATGTGTTTGGCATTGTACCGTACCGTTTTGTACCGTTCCGAAATAACATGGTACCGAACGGTTCTATCCTTGGAACCGGACCGTTAAAAACCTCACGGATACATTACGAGTTTTACCAATTTACCGGACCGTTCCGGACCGCGCCCACCCCTAGGAGATTTCTAAGCTCGCATCTACACGGGTTCTTTTTCGATTGAAATGTGAAATTAGTAGTATCTGACCCGTGCGATGCACGGTATATAGTACCGTATCAACAATATTATAAGTGTGAATATTGTTAGGGGTTAAATGGTGATTTAAAAAATGTTGGTGTCTCTTGGTACATAAGCTTACTGTACTTTATGTTTACTTTGTTGTACATTGTTAACATGCTCGCTGCTTCAACGTTATATCCTAACGGAGGAAAGTCGTCCGCTCTTTTTGCTCTACTCTATTTCATTTATTCCGTTGAAACCTCCGACCCTTTCAGCTCCTCTCTTCCGTTTTAGCCGCTCACCATTCTTGGTGTAATGACTTCCCCACCCCACGTACTGCTGCTTCGGTGGTATTGCTGGTTGATTTTTGGAAGGTTGGCTCGCTACTCTGGAAAGGTTGTGGAGGGCTCTCATGAAGTGGGTGAATGAATCTTGACATCTACGACGGATTGTGACGGTCTGATGAATCCTAACTCACTGAACGTAGATGCTCGCCAAAAATGTCCTTTTTCTTCTATGGGTCTGGATTTCGATAGTGAATCTGAAGCCGATGGTGTGCGTGGATCTCTCTTAACATTCAGAGGACCTTCACCCAATGATTTAAGGTTAGTCTGTATCTCGGCTCTCTTTGTGTCTCTTTTCCTCCATTTCTATGCTTGGACTAGCATGTGTCTTCTGTAACTAGACTCTTAAAAGAGCATCCTCCGCTCTTTCATCTCTACTCTATTTCATCTATTTCGTTGAAACCCCTTACATACACAATCTCTCATTTATTTCGTGAAAGAGTCTAGCAATTTCTATTGTGTGTTCCCGCTTGCCCAATTTCTATAAATAGAGAGTATGCACGCTCCAACCTTTCTAAGATAAGCTAATCTTATTCCTGTATGGAAGCTGTTGGATCTTGTGTAGTTCAAATTGAAGGATGTGATTTCTAGAGAACCCATATCAAGGATTGACGGCCGGGCGCAGGGAGGGAGTCACCTACCTGCAAATAAGTGTGCCCTCCTCTCCCATTGACCGAAAAGGATGGACGCCGGAAACATTTCTGATGAGGAGTGGGAGTTTTAGAAGTAGCTACATGATGAAGGGCACCATCCATAACTGCGTCCACAGCCACATTCGCAGACTCAGATTCCATTTGGAATGATTCTTTTGAGTGCGGTGAAGAGACTGATGATGATGACCAAGATGCTAAGATGGTTAGTAATTTTGATACACCTTACACTCAAGGAGCAATATCCTTTGATAAAGGATATTTGTTTCACACAAGGAAGAATACAAAGCAAATTTGACAACTACTTTGGAAGATGATAAAAGTGGTCAGCAATTTTGTATGCTACAGGTGAACTTTTATGTATCATCTTCTTCAATGATGATCAATAGACTTCCTCTACATTATACTCAAAACATTATACCACTACTTGATGTGTTTCTGTTATTTTGGCATTTTAATAAGGTAAAAAACACTAATAATGTTGACCTTTCATGACAGTACTCCAATCCAATAAAGAAACATAAGTCACACACAAGAACGTGTATGAGAAGGTCGGAGCATTTTACACCTTCATTGAACGTTTGGTGGTCATTTTTTTATTTTGATGGTGGCGTTTATAAATGAAAACAATATAGTGTAGCTAATTTCTTGGCTAAATGTCCTAAAGATGATCATTTCCTTTTCTTTTCTTTTTTCATATCTTTTTTTTGCCGCACACACGCGCGATAGCACAAAGTTAGGCTACAAGCAAAATAATCCCGCCCAAAATCCAATGTTTTAAGTGATAGTGGTACTTTTAATGGGTAGCAGATTATAAGGCCATTTTCTAATTTTGACAGCACTTGAATTTTGTCAGATATGTTTCTATATAGACTATCTTCGTTTGTATATAGACAAAATTGCATGTCTGGTTGATTATTCCAGAGAGGCATATTTTATCATAATTTCTTGATTCAATTTAGTTAAGAAAATATGAATTGGACGGAAATAATTATCACACTTCAGTTATCAAAACAAGGCCTGATCTAATCCTCTGTATGTAGATTTTTTATTTTTCTATTTAGCTGCAAATGATCATTTGTTATTTACTTTCTATACATTTGAATGTCGTATACTCTTTTGTTTCTAACATCTCCTTTTGTTTTAGTTGATAGTGGTACTTTTACTAGGTAGCATATTATAAGGCCATTTTCTAATTTTGACAACACTTGATTTCTGCCAGATATGTTTCTCTACATACTATCTTCATTTATTTATAGACAAAATTTTACATGTCTGATTGATACTGTATTCCAAAGAGGCATATTTTATCAGAATTTATTGATTCTATCGAGTTAAAAAAATAATAGTTGGATGGAAATTATCACGCTTCAGTTATCGAAACAAGGCTTGATCTAATACTCTTTATGTTGGTTTTTGACGTTTCTATTTTGGTGCAAATAAACATTTGTTTTTTACGGAGTAGTTTCTATACATTTGAATCTCATATGCTGTTTTGTCTCTAACATCTCCTTTTTTATTTAGATAATTAGAGTTTTAATGATTTAGATATTGCCATTGTGTGCGGGAAGTGTCTCTTCATGAAACCATGGTATCCATCTCCATATTTGATCTATATAATGCATCTTTTGTTGCTTGGACAACAACTCTGTGAACACTCCTCATCATCAACCTAAGCCGTGCATGGTAGATCAACAGTGGCGGATGGTGTAGTGTTCAAGGGTATGCACTTGAACACCCAAAAATTTCAAAAAATAAAAATAAAAAAGACGTCGTTTTGATGCGTTTTACAAAAAATTAAAAGTCGTCGTTTTGCTCAAACCTGCGTATTCAACGTTCATTCCAAGCTCGGTCTTCTTCAGACTGAAATTCTTCCGCCCTTGGCCGCTCATCCTGAAATCCCAACTGCTACGGCCTACGAGTCCTACGACCAAGAGTGAAGGCTGTGAAGACCTCCGGAATTCCAGATTCTCCTGCTGTCGTGCAGGTTGATTGCTTGCTTTCTTCAAGTATTTTTGATTTTTTGACTTTCAAAATCGGAAGAATTATGAATGATATGCGCATGAGTCGGCATGAGTATGATGATGATGAATGATGATGTTGTGATGTATGGGCTTATGGCTATAATCAAAAAATTGAAATGCTCACAGGCCCTGCCCTGCCGCCCTGCCACTACAGGGCTATTTTATCCCAAATTCCTAATGTGAAGAAACCAGAAAGTCAATAAGTCAATAATTCACTACACCACTAGGTAGAAATTAGATCACTGTTAAATTGAATGAATTGATAAATGGTTTAGTATTTATATTTAGATAGTATGATTTATGATGATTTAATTTTTGTTAGGTTAATGAATAAGAGTATTGTTTCCGTAAACAAGTTTGGAGAATTTAATGTAGTACGTAGTAGTTTTTTTATTGATAAAGATACAATTGTTGAATTATAGCATTAGATATGATTATTGTGATACTTTTAATTTTACTTTAGTTTCGAACACCCAAAATGTAAAGGCTAGATCCGCCACTGTAGATCAATGAAAACAGGAAGCTAAGTCTAATAACCACACATTAGCTTAGATTCTTCGGTCTACCAAGAGGAACTGATATTAACTAAAAAATCAAATTTGAAACCCATTCATTTACAACAACCAATAACATCACTCTTATTTTTTTTGTAAAAAATGAAAAGTACTCCATATATAACCTAATGTTAGTATTAAGTACGAGTATAAAAACTGGGCACTAATTTAGTCACGCAACGCGCATAAACAATCTTCAGCAGGAAGTAAGAACTCCTCCAACAATAGTTGCCGAAGGTGATTTTGATTTTTCAAATATAGTTGTTTGAAGCTTTTCACGATTTTTTAAAATTGGCAGTTGCTATTAAATAGTCATTAAAGAGTTAGTGCTGTTAATTTTTGAAAAAGAAATGTCAAGTAGATCTTTCTATTATTTTCAATTCATCACTTAAGTTCTTTTAGTAAAAATTTATCATATAAGTGCGTTTACTTTTTAAATGCAATCAATCAAGCCACTTTGACTTGTTATAGCAGGTTATAAAAAAATAAATTAAGTATTGGTAAATATTATAAAAAATCATATAAATTTGAAATATAATATAACAATAATATAAAAAATAGTATAAACGTAAAAATAGATAAATAATTCTAAAATGATAAATGAAATAAACAAATATTGTATTGAAAATTGAATAGATAAATAATTCTAAAATGTTAAATGAAAAATAAACAAATATTGTATTGAAAAGTGAATACTTTAATGTTTATACTTCCTAATCAATAGATAACAAACTACATATTCAAATATTGTATTCATATTACTCATAAATTCGTTCAACCTAAACCGAGGAATTAATGTCCTACAATGATCTTGGACATTACCACGAACGCGCAATGCGCGTTACTAAACTAGTATAAAAATAAACGCGAGAAAATAACCTTTGATTCATAAAATTGTCGGTGACAAATATTACAATAGTTTAAAAAGCTTATTCACATTTAGTTTAGTCGCTCGTTTATTGATTAAAACCTTATCCGCTAATAACTACATTGCGGATTTTTTCAAGACACCATGAAGTATTTAACTTAGTAATAATTTCAATAAGGTGAAATGGTAAATTATATAATTTAACCTAGTAATAATTTCAATAAAACATAATATATCTTTTAAATGCATACATTTTTAGATCTAGTTAAATTTACATATCATAAAATCCTAATGCTGAACTATTTATAAACTTTTCCACCTTTTGTATAATAAACGACTTGATGATTAATTGGGATTATTGAAAGAGTAATGACTATAGTTTGATTATTCATAGAATAGGCAGAACTTCTATTTAAAAGTGACTTGCATAGCAAGTTATACTCGATCGTGGACCATTACTGGTGGACAAGCCATATACTTGAGATTGTATGGAAATAATCAATAATGAAATAATTATAAAACACTATATTGTAGAAACTATTAGTCATATTTGTGTAAATAAATTTTATTTTAGTATTACATTTGAAAACTCCCATCAATAATTTGGGTCATGGTCACTTATGTTCAGTTTTTAAACATAGGTGACCATGACACTATATTGTAGTAACTATTAGTCATATTTGTATAAATAAGTTTTATTTTAGTACTCCTTCCATATTTTAGAGATTTCTACATTAGCTTTAATTTGGCACATTATTTTAAAAGAAAAATAGTAGGGGTAATGAATAGTGTATAAAAAAATAGGAGAGAAGGTGTGAAAATATGAAAAAGAAGATTAAAATTTAAAAGTATAAAAAGAAAGGGTGATTTAGTATTTTTTAAGGAAAATTTACCAAAAAGGAAAAGTGTTGCAAACTTTAAAATATATCCCAAAAAGAAGAGTGTAGCAAACTTTAAAATATGAAGGGATTAATATCTGTTGAAAAAAACCCATCAATAATTTGGATTATTGTTAATGGACTGACAATATTTGTGATTTTTATTTTCAATTTTTCCGTACTATAATGAGATTAGAGCTGTAAATATGGTGTATTATGATGGTAAAGATGGACATGATTGTAAAGACTATATGGAGTAGATGGTAACCGAGATAGACATGATTGTAATTTTTAAAATATAGAAACTAATCTATATGTACATGTTAAGATTTATAGTACAAATATTAGTTTATATTAATTATTTTTCATGTCACTTTATTTTGTTACCAATTACATGGAGCCTAAAATAACATGGATCAAAGACGGTTGAATTTTTTGTGATTTCTTGAATATTTATATAAACAATTTATATTTACATGGTAATTTTTTACTACCAATTAATAATATACAATAATTGATGTTATAGCATTTATGTGGAGTAGAAGTAAAATTAATGGAGCATGAACTGAATGAGTGTTGTAAGAGTGACATGTGGCAAATGCTTAAATGAATGACATGTGACAACAATATGACTCTTAAATGCATAATATGACATGTGCCAAATGCTTGGTTGTCATTTGTCAATGCAACCTGACACAATTAAACCATTCTTATACATACACATGCTACATAACTAATTAATTGCAAGATTTGAGTTAAATCTGACAAGAACAATTAATTAAATCATAAATTTGCGTACTTTAGGGACAGGCAAATTAAGGATGCAAGAAACAAAATATTGTATCAAGAATGAATATTAATTATGGATAGTCTCAAGCTAAAATTGGAAAATAGTCGTTGATGCAAAATACAATGGAACTGGAGAACTTTGAGATTATATAAGTTTGGTCATTTACTTTATCATTATGTTCTTTTTGAATTTTTTTCACTTTTCTTCCATTTGTGTTATGTGAAACAAGCATTTATTTTTACTCTATGTGTTAGCACGTTAAGGGTTAGACCCTCGAAAAATTCTAAAGGTACACACTTTTTGGTGTGCACTTTTTACACATGTCTGTGTACGTTATGTCTGTACAGACATAAAAAAAACCTTACACAGACATGTGTAAAAAGTGTGTACACAAAAAGTGTGTACCCCAAGTCCAACTCTAGACAGTGAGTTGTTGGCCAGCTTAACCAAACATATTAATCCCAATTAAATGAACATGTCAACCTTCACGTTCAACAACCTCAATTCAATCTGGTAGCTTAACCCAACCTCATGTTGAACTTCACTTCATTTTAATTGAGATTCATAGGCATTAGGCAACTCAACCTGTAACTGATTGGTTGGGATTTAACTCATGTTAGATTCAATCGAAATAAATAATTAATTATACGAATCTCAATTATTGAAAATCCTAAAAAGTAATCAACAACCAAATGGTAAGAAGAATATGGACAATTAAATTAATGCTTCATTAAACAAGGAATTCAGGATACACGTGTACAATAAGAAATGGTGACAATTCAGGTACCCATTTAAAAAATAGTGTATCGTACCTATCATTCACTTGATTGGTCCACATCATGATATCATTTTTAATTTAGACTAAAATAATTCAACTAAAAATTTCTCATTGGTCCATGCAGACAAAGGTATTGTACCTTATGGGTACCATAGAATCTACCCTAAGAAATTAATTGTATAGAGGACCTGCAACATAAAGGAAGATATATCTTCGCTTAAACAGATATAATGAATATGAATATGACGAGGTTGTACTATAACTCAAAAGAAAATGGGAATCAATGAAGACAGAATATAATGCAAAAAAAAAATCAGAACTCTGATGTTTTAAATAACAAACTACCTTGGCAGCTAATACCCCAATTACGAAAATTCATGCATGGGGCATCTTTGACATGAGACAAATTTCGAAGATGGTAAATAGGAACATAAAACTCTTATATATAGGGTTGGATTCGGTTCGGGCCACCCGGCCCGTGACCTGGCCCGACCCGGTACTGTGCGGGCCCGGGACCGGGTATGGACCCGAACCGTGGGGAAGGGGCGGGCTCGGTGCTGGATTATTGTGACCCGGCCCGGCCGGGTCGGGCCTAATTTAAAAAAAAAAATTGGTTTGGGCTACTAGCCGTTGGGGGTGGGGCTGGGGACAACCCAAACGGCTATATAGCCGTTGGGTGGGGTAAAGGGGGGTCCGGGGGGGTTGCCTGGTGGGGGGGGGTGGTGGGGGGGTGGGGGTAAAAAAACCTATAAATACTCCTAATCTTAAACATTTTTTCATATCTCTTCTCCAATTCTTCCTAAATCCTATTCTTAACTCTCTACTCTCTAATTCTCTTATTCTCCAATATATTATATTTATTATTTATATATCTACTTTATAGTTTATACTTAAGAAGTTAAGATGGAAAATCAAGATGCCATTATACGGTATAATTTTGATAAGCAGAAGGACCCGAAGACCGGGATGTGGTACGCAATTTGCAAATGGTGCGAGAAAAAATGTAGCATGGGGGTTTCTGGCGGATTCGGAATGGCAATCAAGCATATGAAGTCATGTGACAAAGGCAAAGCCAAAGGATCGGGAGGTGCGGGAAGTTCCGATTGATTACAATTTTCAAAATGTTTATCTGTTAAAGTTTGTTTTAATTTTGAAATGTAGTTCCTATTTCATTTCAAATAAATGCAATTGAAGTTTGTTTTTAATACTCGTATAAAACTATAAACTATAAAATATAAATTATATATATAAAAAAAAATTAACCGGCCCGGCCCGAACCGAACCCGACCCGTGACCCGGGCGGGTGGCCCGACCCGAACCGGACCCGTCCAACCCTCGGCCCGGTCCCGGGCCCATGTCATACTACCCAGCGGCCCGACCGGGCCTAGGCCCGGCCCGGGCCCGACCCAGCCCGAGTCCATCAATACTTATATAGGCAAGAAAAACAGTCACTTATATTGTGAATTTTTTGCTTTGTACGTTTTTTAATCCAATTTAGGGCAATTTCTAATCTAATAAGAACAAATTACTTTATAAACTAATTTCAATTGTAAGACTTTTTATAAATTAATTTCAAATGTAAGATTACAACTTGTTTGTACTTTCATTGTTAGAGGGAAATAAGATGAAGAGAACTGCTTGCCAATGAATACATTTGTATAACATTTGTATTCCTCCATTTGGAATATATTCTACTGCCATCAGCTCCACTGCTCCGGCATCCATATGCTAAAACCTATTGATATCGAAGTTAGCATCTCTATTTAAAGAGATTGTGAAGGGCAAAACTTTTGCACAAATGGCTCCCTTTAGAGTATTTGAAGACGATCAGTCCAACACTAGCTATCCCGGAGAATATGACACCATTCCTTGAAAAATCCTTCAGTCACTTCAAGTCTTCAACATCAGACCCCTAGTAATATTCAGTCTTCAACATAAAGGGAAGTTTGTTTACAATTGTTAAGTTAAACCTGCAATGTTTTTAAAAACCAGCAGCACAAGAAAATCCAACTTACTGCCGTCCAAAACAATGTTCTCTGACTCTTCAAAAACTGTCATCCAAAATGTACATTAGAAAAGTATGGTTAGAATGTTAGATGAACACTTTGTAAACACGCTTCGTTGTTTCACGTCATGTTTTTCAGATTCAAAATGGCAATTTGATTAAGTATTTGGACAGATGTACGATAACAGATCATTTTAGAGTGTTACAAATTTATGTTGTGTCTTTCAAGAAAAATGCTTGGAAAAGAAAAAAGAGATTATTTTGGTCCAAATTTAACAAAACACAAAAAGCTCAAATCATTAAATCATGAAAGCTACTACGTACGATTTTGTGAGTTCTTGATTTTAGTGTTTTGGAAGCGCTTTAAGCTTTATCAACCCAAAAAACTCTACAAACGGCTTAACACGTGAGCAAGTTGTAGTATTAAGAGTTTAGTGGTTGTAATGATTTCTCAGATTGGCATCAATCACAGTAAATCCTTCCCCACAACACTCATCAATTCTGCTTTTGCTGCTTCCATCACTACTTTGAAATCTGTCTGAATATACCTTCCCCTGAAACAAGATTGTGATTAACTTACTCTTAAGAAGAGTTCATGAACAAATATGAGGAGATCTATATTTTAGGAACGTATTGGAGAAGCATCAAGCAAGGTAAACAGATAACTTTGTTTTAAAGGAGACGAGTGCACAAGATTCTATTGTTGCTATATAGTATTACTAATCTACATATGTGACAACAGGTAATTAAAAAAAGCACTAATATCATATCTTTGTACGAGTGAAGTTCTTCGCAAAAGTACCAGAAGTGACATTTTGACCAAAAAGTGGAAGGGAAGGCTGGACTAGAAAGGCCATGAAGTATCCTTGCAACAGCTCTAGGAGTAAATTTGGCATGTGAGTTGCTCTGTAAAAAGACCTGTTACACCAGAAACAATGATAGATGACTTATAACAGCATGAAGCGTTCTTCTCTGATAGATAACAATTCGGCTCGTAAAAATTACCTTTATGTCTGCTCTCAAAAATGGGCTGCAAGTGCAAAAAATGAAAAAAAACCAATCACATTACTGCTACTGTGCTTTAAAGAAACTCATTCTATAGGACAATGATTATTCTCAGTTGTGTTTTAGCTACCGCTTTAGGTATTTGCACACATATTAAGAAAGAAAGAAATCTTCATAAAGTTAGTATGTATACATACTACTACCCCCATCCTACAAAGATATGTTCAACTTTGCCCAATAAATATATTTTTATACAAAATGATTTATCATGTGAAGCTAATATAAAAATGTCTTTTGTTAAGAATACACTCATAAAAGTAAAAAAAAAACTGTAAAATATATTGATTAAAAACATTGCTCAAAATTTAACAGCTCACCGCAAAAAGTCAAATGTGGCTATCTTTGTGCTGACAGAGGGAGTATATGACGTTTACAGTAATGTAACGTTTATGGACGGGAAAGGGTAATGGTGAAAAATAAGAAACCAATGCTCTTGCTAAAACAATTTTATAAGGATGCCTTCTATCTGAACCGGTCAGTGAATAACATGACAGATTCGTGACCTGATTTTAGCCATATTGTTGGGGACATCAATATCATCATTGCTTTTGAAATACTCCAAAATCCTCCTTTGCAAGCAAGGAGTGTGGTCATAGCCATCACAACCATGCACCTTATCACACCTTTGTACTGCAGCAACAGCAGCATTGAACATTATATCCATTTTTCTCACCTATTTGAAGGAAAAAATTATACATGTGTTATAGTTTATCAAATAAGTCGTTAACTGAAGGCACCTACGTTAAGGGAAAACACTATGGGGCAGAGCTACTCATATACTTCCTCAGTTTTTAAATAACTGCAACATTTTCCTTTTTTGGTAGTTCCAAAATAATAGCAACACTTCTATTTTAGGTAATACAAAATTATCTTAGTGTCTCCAGTACCCTTACTCCTACCAAAATTAATCACTACTCATCACTTATTTTTCTTCAAAAGCTCATCATGTGCCACATTCTTCTCCCATTCCCTCTCTTGCTATTTCAATTTATCTTTCTCTTCCTATCAGTGATGTACCCCAAGCCACTGCAATCATCTATCTCTCTCACTTTATCATTTCTTCACACCCTACAACCTTATCTAATTTTCTTCTCTCTATTTTTCTTCTTACATGGTAGAACGCAGCTAAAGCTCTGATTAGTGGCATCAATGAAATGTTACAGAGAAGTTCCCTCAAGATTTGGTTTCACTCTTTATTTTTATTCTTCCATTACATTGGAGAACCCAATATTATGTATCGATTCATGTTAGCCGACCCCAATATCTTTTGGGACTAAGGCTTGGATGTTGTTGTTGTTGTATTACATTGGAGAACCCATCTGATGCTCCTAGTGGTGACAAGGAATTGCTACGTAGGACTCACCTTGAGATGTAAAAAATTCTATTCACAGCCAAAATTGGTTTCTCTCTGTAGAACTTTTGCTGTAGCAAAAGCAAATGGTGGCTGACAGCACATAGCTTATAACTGTATTACTTTTATCTTTCCATGGGTATTCGAGAGGGTAAATGGAAAAATAGAAAAAAAAAAAATTGTTAATTTCTGTGCCTAGAATCCATGTTGCAATTATATCTGAACGGAGGCAGTGTCAATTAAGTAGAATGTGATACCTTTTTCTATAAGCTTGCACATTTTGATTTTGAACACAAAATTGTCCCAAACATCTTTTCTTTTATCCAAAATGGCACGGCCCACACAATAGCAATACTTATAAAACTTATAGGAATGTGGGTTTACGAAAAAATTGTATTGAAGGTTAATCACCTTGCATCTCTCAACCTCTGAAAGCCAACTTGTAACCTGTGCTGCCAAAGAACAAATGTCCTTGGGGATATCCATGATTTTGTAACAGTAAGCCTGATCCTTCAACTCATAGGCAATTTCTCCCTTAAACTAAGATGAGTAAAAGTATAAAGAATTGCAGAAAGTTATGCTACAATGCTATATATATCCTAAAAAGATTAAACAGACAGAGTTTGTCTTTATGACTGTATACATTAGCTAACTCTTAATAATGTGGGGATTTCAAAGACAAAGATTTATGGGGGGTTTCATGGTATCTTCTCTCTCATTTACATACACCTCAACTTGCAGAAGATATAGTCTTCAACAAAAAATACTTGCATAGAGCTCTACAGACTAATTCCACTGTTGTTCATGGGCTATAATCTCACCCTCTTGAAAGTACATACTAATGGGTATGGTTAGGCTTGTCCTTGTTCAGTTCTTAATTTTTAGGGCATTGTTATCCGATGTAGTTATGTAGGCCCAAGTGCAATTCACATAAAAAAACAAAAAGTTGCATTTTAAGAATGATAAGGTTCCACTTTCTGAACACAACTACATCAAAAGTGACATCATTTGAAGGCACTGTTAAGCCAGTAAGTTATCATCTAATTTATGGACACACAATTTGTCTTTGTTTTATATACAAAATTGAATCCAGAGAAAATCTGGCATAAAACTTGAAAGCACTTATGATACCTTTAGTGTCTGCAAGTGATTTGACAAGTCAGCAGGTTGCAACCCAACACTATTTGCTACACTTGGTATGTCAAACACATATTGCCCATCTTTAATTTCAGACCTTAAATTCATAAACGGGTATTAGTTGCAAAAATTGGTAAGAGCCAAATATGTGTTTGATTAGTAAAAAGGGAGAAATGGTTACTTCTTCATGACGGCTGCAACCACTATATCTTTACCAGCTAGCAGTGCTGGAGAAGTCTGAAATAATTGTGAACGCCCTCAGATTAACAATAAACAGATACAGTGTTAGCACCCTCACATTTAGGATCAAGAGATACTGAAATACTGGCAAGAAGACAACAATGAGCATTCCGCTATTTAGAAATTACTCTAAATAGGACTGAAACTTATACAAAATGCACAAATAGGACTACATGTATTTTATTTCCAAAATAGGACTTATTTGAACCTACTAAAAGTATAAAACTTCCCCTGTTAGGACTTAGGAGTGAATAAGTCCTATTTTAGGAAGAAAACAATGATAGTCCTATGTGTGCACTTTGTTCATGTTTTAGTCCTATATAAGGAATTTTCTCGAGTGAGATTATCATATTTCTGCTCTAGTAATCTAAGGGAGAATCTAAAAATGCAAAGAAAACCACATTGATCATTTGCCTAGTTCTTAACCATTTTCATGACCATTAGATTGTAGTATTTTAGCCTTGGTCATTCTTCAACATTATCAAGAGATAATTTCTCCAACGTACTTGAGAGGTTTCCAGACACTAAGCGAACTTTAACACTCCTAGAGTACAAAGAAAACCAGTTCATTATTTGGTTAATGACAAAGATTGCAACTCACCTGGTGGAAATTCAAAGTGCAAGTTACATTCACTTCAGGAAGCAAGTGCAAATACTTCACATTGCCCAACTCCAGTTGAGTCAAAATTGTAAGCATTACCTAAATGCATGAGTAAACCCAGCCATCAGCATCATTTATGAAGATAAGTTGACCTTAAAAAGCGAGTCTTAGATGCTACTATCCGATATCTACCTTACCAACCATAAAATTTTCAAAGTGAGACTACCTACCTTAACAACCAGAACATTGCAAAGCTATGCCGTCATATAGGAACAAATATAAACAACATTACCTGTGTTGAGAATTACTGTCACAGAAGTAGTTGTAGAGTTGCATGAAGGATCTTTACAAAACATTTAAAAGATATGCAAATAGAACTAGATGCAGTTTTAAAAGACTTCATTTCTCTCAGCTTAGGGTTTGAGCATTACTACCATTATTTCTACACTCCTATTTGTCTTCAAGCAATGATCAGGAAGAGCGAAACCACAAAGTGAGCCTATAAGATTGGTTATGAAAAACTCTTCAGATATAGAAGCGTGTGTTGCAGCATTACGCTTTGGACGAGGAGTGCTTTTGTCTTTAATTCTTGAATGTCTTGTACAGTAATTGCTTTGACCATATTTTTGTTTGTCAATTTAAGATAAGATCTCAGACTGTATTACAAGTTAAAGAACATCTGAAATTGCAAATACTTAACATTGACTCCAAGATATCAGATTTGGTTGGACTCAGATTAACTGCGAGTCTGTGACAATAACTTATAAACTGAGAAGCCCTCAGGAAATGTAATGGAGCATAGCCAGCGAAAGAGGGTTGGAAAAGGGAAGAAGCACCTCCTCTTTCATATCAAATTTTCGGGATGCCGCTTCTTTAACTATTGATGAACATTTCCCAGCTAAACCTGTGCTGTTGCTAAAAACTTGGCAGAGGAACTTGTTTACAGCGTACTCATCCACACCATCACTGAAAAAATATGTTCATCAGACAGTTATCTTCCCCAAACAAAACTAGTTGTCTAGAAAGGACAAGTACCATTACCTGTGAGCAAGACTGCGCAGCTTAAAATAGGAGACATCATCAAAAAGAAGGTGGCAATAAGACAATCTACCATTACGCCCAGCACGACCTATCTCCTACATGGGTCACATGAAGCTTCATGGCTAAATAAATAGGAAACAGGAGTATCTTGTAGAGGCCTCGATGCTAGGTAAATAAATGTAGGTCTTGAGGGACTATTACCAACCTGGACATACTCTTCCAAGCTTTCTGGTAAGCTGTAATGAATGACCTATCCATAATTATATTGAAGAACACAGATGGAGTAATTATACTTTCAACAACAGTACCACACAAAAAGTGATAAGCACTGTTATGCCATAATATGGCATAGACAGCTTCTGGAATATCAATGTAAGTATGTAACAACTTGGCTGAACTCAGAGCATTTTCATATTGTCATACATAACAATGTCAAACTTGACCTTCAAATCTAATACGATAGTATTTTCTAACACCGATAGACAATCTATATATCTACTCCATGTGATTTTTACTTATAAAAGTGTTGACAAAGTCGAGGCATTTTAGAAACTCGTATGAGATAGCTGAAAAGAGTACTAATCAATGATTGTGATAATCAATTATAATCAGAGCCAACTTTTTTGGGTAAGTTTGCTTAGAAGTGATTTGGAAATAATTGATTTCAACTGGGTGCAAAAATATCAGCTTTTACTAGGTAAAGAAGTATGAAAATAGCTAAAAGACAGAAATAAGCCATTGAAAAAGAATCAAGTTCTACAAAATTTCAAATTCTAGAAAACAAATGTTTTCCAAAAAATATAATCTGATTATAGGTTTGACCTGATACCCCCCCCCCAACTTTTTAAAGATCAGCTTATAATCAAGATGATAAGCTGTCCCAAACATGCTCTATGTTTCCATTCCTCACAGAACTCTTATGTTTCCTTCTTAGATGTACTGCTCATGACAGAAATGGTAAATTGTTAATAAAGAGTTTGAAGCTGGGGCATCAAACCAGTTATCAACCAGGTGAAACTAATTGCACGTGTGGAGTTGAAATCATCATCTAGATTGAGTAGGTCAGAAATATTAAACTTAGGCACATTCAAGGTGGGAAGGATTCAAGAAATAAAAGAACAAAGTAGAGCTCCAGTCCTTACAGCTCCGACATCTTGTTTATCAAGTCCCATTCCGAATGCCACAGTAGCAACAACCTTTAAGAAACATAAATATGCAAGTTAATGAATTCGATCAGAGTGATACATATCCCATTATGGCACACCAGAAGGAATGTAATATTGTAATGTCATACAAATACAACCAGAAAGAAGTTATTGAAAAGTTTCCTCACCACCCTAATTTTATTTGCACAAAAGAGTTCTTGTGTCCTCCTCCTATCTTTTGCAGGAATGGAACTGTGGTAACTCTAAAAGCAATGAACAATCCAATATCACAACATTAAATGTGAAATGATGCACAGCAGATGCAGGGAAATGCTAAGCAATTCAAAAATTATTTAACCAAAGTAAAGAGTTACCACAAACCTTAGCTGAAATGTTGTTATCGCATAGGCATTTGCATACAAGATCTGTTTCATACTATGGAATATGTGTAGGGAAAACAAAAAATGGAGCCAGTCAGTGACTCAATGTAATCTGACTTACTCACTTCTATGCAGATAGTTTTTTTCAACTAGAAAACGAAAAGCGTTAACATGCAGCATGAATATATGGATCACTGACCTGAAATTTGCAATAAATGATGATGCTTTTAACATCATAGAAGGGAGAAGACTTGAGCGATGCTATTAAATCTTTTAGCCTAACAGAAATTTGTGGTTGGGATAAAGTGATTGTTTCACATTTATTTACTACCCAGGAATGCTTGAAGAAAACATAAATTAAACATATAGTATTTGTGCATGTACCTATTGCTACTCATTGATACTGACATCTGCAAATTGTCCCTCAATTTGGATGTTTGGATGAGATTAGTGGGAAGGATATCAAGAGCATGCATTACATCGTGCAATGTTTTGGCTGTTGCAGTTGCAGTCATTGCAAGAATGCATTCAGCCTTTAGCTTTTCACGCAGCAACGAAGCCCTAAGCCTCATGTATGAGGGCCGAAAATTGTGTGACCTGCAAAAATGTTCTGGCATTTTATAAATCTAGCAGAGGTATAAAAAGACTAAGGGGCGCAAGAAGGGGATGACACTCACCATTCAGATACACAGTGAGCTTCATCAACCACCACGAGAGATACAAGGGGACCTCTAGAGAATAATGATGTGAAGTCTGAACTCAGAAGCCTCTCTGGAGAAATAAAAAGGACCTGGGATATGATGGTCCAGTCAAATACAACTGCCATGATAAAAAAGAGTTTGCAGATAAATATATTCAAATACAGCTAATATCTAGCCTCTACCAAAAGCTGATAGCCTGATACTATAGGTTATTTTCATTTGTAATAGTTTGACTAAAGATATAACGTGAAACACTTCACTGAAAATGAGATCAGCAAGTTTGAAGGCAACAGCTGCCCTATAAGCTCTGGAAGCACCCCCAAATTAAAATTTAAAACTGACCTTTATTGATCCCTCTTGCAGAGATTGGAGAGTTTCAGACATCTCTTCTGGTGTCTAAACAATGAGTACACAAGAATAAGAATTGTCCCATAATGCACATAGACCACTACAAATGAGGTATAACTAACCTGACTGCTACACAGAAGACCACCAGGGAGTGCAGCAGGCAGCTGTTTCAATTGATCAACCATTAAGGCAACTAATGGGCTAATGACCAGAGTAATCCCCTCAAAAACCATGGAAGGTAACTGATAACAGAGAGACTTTCCAGCACCAGTTGGCAAAAGCAGCATTGTTGATTTCCCAGAAAGCACCTTCTTGATTGCCTCCATTTGTCCAATCCTAAATGAATCGTAACCATAAGCCAACTTCAGCAAGCTCAACAGATTCTCATCAGATGCTTCATTTCTAACACTCATCACAGCCTCCTGAACCAACCCATCTTCAGCATTTGAACTTCCGTCTGTTTGTTTAAAATCCACAACCAATCCCTCTTCATCACACACCCCACCACCCTCCTCCCCTTTTCCTTGACCCTTGCCTTTAAATCCCCCCCTACTTCTTCTGTAAAATTTTCTGCCATTACTCGAGGAACCATACTTCTTTCTTTTTCCCTTGTATCCGTATTTTCTTCCCGAGCCATTGATATTGAGTTTGACAAAATTGCCCTCGTTTACATATTTAGGCTTCTTCACTGGCAATGAAGCGGAATCAGCTAGACCAATCAGATTAGGAAGTCTCTTTAGAATCTTATCAGAATTTCCAGATGCAGCAGCTTTCGTTTCTAACTTTATAGAATCAGTGGTTGTTTCGCAAGCATCAACATCCAATTGGGAGGGTGGTAATGAAGAGGAGCCAAGAAAATCAAGCTGCGCTGGCTCAAATTTGAGATCTTTCTTCTTAAGTTTGGAAAAAGATGATCGTAAAGCGCCTGGAAACGTTTGGTTCGAGTGAGCTGGACGGTGGATTTGGAAGGGCAAGTTGGAGATGTCCGGAAGGCGAGTCAGGTCCGGCAAGGAATCTGCGCGTGGTGTTTCCGTAGTTGAGTTCGTGGGTGGCCCTTTCAGCTTGCCGGATCGCTTGGGTCTTAGAATTGGGCGGGAAGTTGTGGCAGAAGGTTTGAGTTTAGTTCGAAATTTAGAGCACGAGAGAAGAAAATGTGCTGGAGTCGGCACCGGCACCGGCACCGGCGCCGTCTCTGTCGGCGGTGGATGTTGCTTTTGCTTTGGAGTTGACGGCGGTGTGTCTGATACATATGATCCATCCGAGTCGGAATCCATTGAAGGTTTGGACGAATACAAGTTGCTTGCTGTGAGTTTATGCTCGGATTTCCCGCCTCCTCCAGGGAATATGTGGATTAGGCTATGTTTGGTTGAATAAAAACAGGTACGAGTAACAAACCGGGTAGATTGTAAAAAGGAAGGGGAAAGGTAATTTTAGGCGGTTCTGTGTGGCCGTCTCCATTTTAGGCGGCTCTGTGTGACCGTCTTCATTTTAGGCGGTTATGTGTTCCCAGTGTAATTTTTTGATAATTTTTTTGATAATCTTCTTCTTTAAGTCTAGTTTACCCATATCAAATTTCAGCTAAAAATTCAATCGTGAAGTCAGTCAAATAAATGTTTGAAGATAACTGCGCAGTTAAACAGCGCAGTATAATTCAGAAAATCATTTGACTGCCTTCCCGGTTGAATTTTTACCTGAAATTGAGTATAGCTAAACTAGACTTAAAGAAGAAGATTCTAAAAAAAATTCATCAAAAACTTCAACCGTTAACCGCCTCAAATGGCGATGTCCACACTGAGTCTCCTATAAAAGGGGTGATTTGCACTTTTACGGTTAGTTCGAGGGCTTATTTGCACATTTTCCCAAAAGAAATTAAAGAAGAGAAAAGTGACGGATCCCTCCTCCTAGTTTAGTACTACCTCCGTCCCTTAAAATTTTGCCAAAATTGACCGGCACGGAGAATAATAAAGTAAAAACTGTGGTTGAGGTTTGTGCAGAGGAGAGAGATAATAGAAACCACAAAATAATTGATTAAAAGGGAAAGTGGTAAAGTTTTTTGGGACGTCACAAAAGGAAAGATGGCAAAGTTTTAATGGACGGAGGGAGTAGTTTGTACGGAAAGTCACTTGTACTTTAAGTTTATCAATTAGATCATCCTATTATGTAATTTTCGTCAAAATCGACTTTTAACAGGTAACTCGCCTATCAGCAGGTTACCTAATGATGTGGCGCACACGTGGTGCTCATGTGGCCTGACACAGCACACATGTGGCGACCACATAACTTTTTTCCTTTTCTTTTTCTCTTTTCTTTTCATTTTCCTTCCTTTCCCAGACCCCCTTTCACCCAGCTTAATACGCCCCCGCAAGATGGTGGCTCATTGGAGCAGACCAATCTTGTTGTTCATATGCTCGTTGTTGAAGCCTATCAGGATCTAATTATTCGTCGGAGCTTAATTTGCTCTGATACCATCTTAAGACTTGCGGGTTCCATCCTAAAAGGTCAGTCTGTTAGTAGGAGTAACTCAAGGCTTTATATGTTGGTTTGTATTTCTATACGCAACCAGTGTGGGACAGCTTAATATTGGGTTCCCCGGTGATCTCAATTTCCCAGAGAATCAATCTTTGTGCTCAAACTTTCAAGAATTGTTGCGACGTAAATCCAGCCAATTTTCATGTGCACATGGATCATCGAGAGAGGATGATGAAGAGAGTTCAAAAGGATATATAATAAGTAGGCTGGTGTAACACCGGACCCGAATTTTTGCCCAGAGATTTTCTTTTTTCATCAAATACATGGTTAACGAAGGTAAATCAAGATTAGAGTAGCCTTGATAAATGAGAAACATAAAATTATTGTCTTAAATTAATAAAGGATTATCAATCAGACGCGGGACCCACATCGGGAGCGGGGACCACCCGTGGTATTCTTAGCGTATAAAAAATTTATGTTGATCTAAACAATACTATTTTGATAGTAGGAATGGGTCGTGGACCCCAGTGATATATAGAATGACAACTAGACGGCCACGTGGGTCAGGGCCACTAATCGATAATTGAGAACCCTTAATTCTCGGACTATTAATAATTTGGAAGACTATGAATTAATGACAGGAGAAATATAAATATTTCAAGAATCCAAAATAATGGATTGATAAATATATGATTAAAATTGGTACATTAAAGGAGGATACTTTTGGAGGACCCCTACCTTGAAGATATTTTTGTATGAGGACAAACAGATAAGATTTTACCTGCTCATACATTTTGGACCACTTAAAAAGAAGTGTAACATTTTATTAAATTGTCACAAAATAAAACCACATCTTAAGACGTGAGAAAGGACGAGTGAATTCTCGATGCAACGCGTTCTCACTGTACTGTTACTCGAACAGTAAAATGCACGTTGGGCCCATACATGGGCGGAGACCATCTGATATTTCCGAGACCACACATTATATTCATCTTGGTCTAGGTGATATTCTTATGATGATTTATATTTATGTTTAGCCATAGAGTTGGCCGTTTGAGCAAAATCAGTCCCATTTTCGATATCGGTAATTTAACAGATAATAGCCCGAAATAAATTCCAGGGACCGCTAAATTAAAGTGGGATAATGTTTATTAATTTTAGAGTCCAATATTAATTGGAAGGATGATTTATATTTTATTTGACCTGATAAAATGAAATTTAATTAAAACAGTCCGGAAAATATAACTTTCGGGACCAATTGTACACTTCGGGACATATTGGGATGACCTCCAACATGAGTAGGGCCACCCCACGTTTTTGTGAGATCAAGCATCAATGTGTGAGCTGTAGAACATGGTATGACACTAATTGATAGGTGAATAGATGAGAGATACGTGTTTGATAGGTAAAGGGGCCCTCTCCCATCACCCATTTGTGTTTTGAGACAAAAAGGACCATCTCAATCCCTTCTCTCTCACTATTTCGGCCAGCACACTAAAGAAAGAGAGGAGAGACTCTAGAACTCATCATCCTCCATTGTTGAAGCAAGATCAAACCAAGGGAGGTCCAAGGAAGAAGAAAGAGTGAGAGAAGAAGAGAAAAACTTGGAAAATAAAGGTAATGACGTCATTAGTATTTTTCTTCCTTCATTTAATCTCATATGATTTTATAAATCATATGATAGACCCATAAGCTTGTTCTACACTCCTAGAGGTGTAGAATGAGGGGTTTGAAGGATAGTTTTAACCATGATCGGAGTTATGACCGGAGTAAGACCGGTTCGTCGGAAAACACCTTCTCGGAGGGTTTTGACATTTATACCACTTTTGATTTGTGAAACCTTGTTAGGAATTTTACCAAGGTATTCTAGACATCTCAAAGAATCTAGGAGTGGCCGGAAAAGTCGCCGGAGCCGCCGGAGTTTTCGCCGGAAAATTCCAAAAGTCACTGGAGTTCAAACGAAGAGGATAAAAGCTTGCTAGCATCATTTCAAGGTGAGTGGACGACTACGTGTCTTGTAACTCTTGGGTCAAACGTGGGATTACCTAAATAAAATCCTTATCATGATTTGAGAAATGATTAAATGGATTAAAATGCATGATTAGTCATGGTGAATATGAATTATGGAAATATTACATGATTAATGAATAAGAGATTTATTTGTGGATTAATCGTGAATATATTATTGTCAAATGTATGAAAATGCATTAATGGACTATGTATGAGATAACTAGAGTAATCTAGTATGTGAATATGTATAGAAATGTTTAAATGTGTTTAAACATGTGATTAGCTATAATGATTATAAGTTATGTGAAAATGGCATGATTAATGAGTAAAAGAATTATTAATATTTTTGATGAAGGATAATCATGAATGATTTAGTTGGACATTAACTAAGGTAATTCAAGATGGTATTCTTGAAGGATTCAAGTACTTAATCATACATGTCATTAAATTAAATATAGTTATGAAGTATAAACTAGAACGAAATATATAAACGATTAATAAGTATGAAGTACTTATTAATAGTTGTGTGAAGACGGCTTTATGCTTTATAACTTTTGAGTGAGACATGAGATTACTTAAAGTAATCAAGAATATATTTTATGGAATGATTAAAGATAATCAAGTATGTGTTATTCCATGATTATATGAAAAATATAGTTGAAAAGCATGTTGAGTAAGCTTGATGATTAAAAATGTGATAATTAATTATGTATGATGTTCCAAGGACCCAAAAGGGCATTTTTGGAGTAAGGACGTCAAGAAGTACATGTGTATAAAATTTCACGTTAATCGGACTTCATTTGGGCAGTCAAATGGGCGTTGACCGCCAAGACAAAAGTAATACCCGACCGGGTATTGGTAAATACCCGACCGGGTATTGGTTAAAAATGGTTCCAGGAGCCACTGCCACACTAGACCCGACCGGGTATGGGTATAGACCCGACCGGGTATTGGTTAAAAATAGTCCCAGGGACTACTGGCTCACCCTACCCGACCGGCTATGGGTAATACCCGACCGGGTATTGGGTTTTACACCCAATATGCCGTTTTTGAGTATGTTTACGTGGGTCGTTCGAGTGGGACCCGTCCACGTTGGTTGCTAAGGCTTCGAATATGGTTTAAACGCTAAGACTTGGACTAGTCGTTAGTAAAGAAATTATAGACCACGACCGGGTGAGGTGACTCGGTGAGTGATCAGGTAAAACTCTGTAGGACCAGGATGAGTCCTTTATACTCAAATGTTAACAAGGGCCCGTGTAGTCCTTGAGGTGTGTTAACCTCCAGCAAATTACACATAGGTAACAAGGGCAAATGCAGTCCTTGAGGTGTGTTAACCTCCATCAAAGTGCATATACGTAACAAGGGCCCGTGTAGTCCTTGAGGTGTGTTAACCTCCAGCAAATTACACATAGGTAACAAGGGCAAATGCAGTCCTTGAGGTGTGTTAACCTCCATCAAATTGCATATAGGTAACAAGGGCCCGTGTAGTCCTTGAGGTGTGTTAACCTCCAGCAAATTACACATAGGTAACAAGGGCAAGTGCAGTCCTTGAGGTGTGTTAACCTCCATCAAATTGCATATAGGTAACAAGGGCCCGTGTAGTCCTTGAGGTGTGTTAACCTCCAGCAAATTACACATAGGTAACAAGGGCAAGTGCAGTCCTTGAGGTGTGTTAACCTCCATCAAATTGCATATAGGTAACACGGGCCCGTGTAGTCCTTGAGGTGTGTTAACCTCCAGCAAATTACACATAGGATAAGGGTGTATGCGTACTCCTCAAGGCGGGGTTAGCCCCGGGAGTGTAAACTATGATTGTACGGACGAATAGTCCCCGAGGTAGGTGAACCTCAATTAATGATTTTAGATGATTAAACATGTGTGATCGGGAATGAGTTCCCGATAGGGTATTTTCCTTGGTCTAGGAATTTAATTTAAATCATGACTGTGATATGGGACATGAGAAGGCCCCCAAAATAATCATCTTTGTTATCGGGTGAGTTAGCCTGCGGGTGACTTCACTCGAGGGTAGGACACGGGAAGGGTGAATTTAACGAGGCTGTTACGCCTAAATGATTTGAAAGACAAATGGGCCCACGGGCCGGATATTTTACTCATATGTATATACGTATACGATATGTTTTGAAAAGGGGTAGCCAAGAGTTATGCCTATACATATACTATCACCCTATGTTGAGGGTCCCATGTGAGAAACGTTAGTTATATTACATACAGTTTGCCCTCACCAGTACTTTTCTGTAGTACTGATCCCTAGGGGGAACCACCCTTTCAGGTTGAAGCTAGAGCTTACTTCCTGCACCCGTTGTTCGGGAGATCGATGGAGAGAAGACGTGGTTCGTGCTTCCTCTGGTTCTATTTCTAAATAATTAAATAATGCTCATGGAACTATTTTTGACTTATAAATTAATGGAGTCTGCGATCTCTTGTTTTACCCTTGTGTGGGTTCTTATTAAACACTTACATTCCGCTATGTGTTTAATTGTATGTTGATGTTGTTATGTATATTTACTAATCGGTTTTGGCATATATATCTATCAGACGTCTTGTGCAATTTAGTAAGGATGAACTGCGGTTATTCTTATTGAGTTGTATGACGGTTGTCTACGTGGCACAGACACGGTCTGAGGCGTGACAATTAAGTGGTATCAGAGCCATACGGTTACTAAACTATATAGTCAACCTCTCAACAAAGTTTCTATCAAAACAATCTTTCAATGAAAATCCATGAGCATAAATTTTGTACTGTAAGAGCATTTGGTTATCGAGTTGCAAGGTCTCTAGTTGTTAAGATGGGCCCCTTAACAATTGGTATGGCAGTGACTTGAGCCAAGTTGTGTCTTAAGTACGTTTCTGTCAATTGACATTCAAACGAGTCCAAAGACTCATTCCAATATATTCTTTCAGGAATGGGTGGTAGCGATAAGGCGGTTCAAGGGAATCCGAGAGGGCGAGCGTCGGGGATAGTCGGGCAAGCCAATCGGGGAATATCAAGGTCGCCAAAAAGGCGAGTTAGGGGCCACCAAGGCCAATGAACACAAGCCGCGATGGCTGATTGCATTGTGACTGGAGGCACATGCATGTGCACCGTTGACTCTCCTGTGGGCCTCTAGTGCTTCTTGGGCCTGTTGGGCCTGTGTTAGAGTAGTAGGAGTCTATGGGCCGGGGGTCCCTGGTCCATATACTGCATCAGGAGTCCCTCACTCCTTTTTCTAAAAGGTACTTGAGGGAAAAGGAGTAATTTGCGTTTGTCCTCTGGTGCTGGCGTTTGCTTCGTTGTAGTTTGCAAAGTAGTGAGAGGTTTGTGTTGCGTGATTTGCCGAGGGCAGTCCTTCAGCCCCACACATTTTGGTACTGAAGGATTATGTTGGTGTTGCGGGAAAACTTTTAACTTTTGGTGATTTTCGTGAAGGAGTTCTCCAGTCCCCCACTCTTTGAGGCACATGTAATGGGGTGAAAAGGAGTAGAGTAATGATTGTCTTCAGTAGAGAGCCGAGGGCTGACGCCTTTTGCTTCATATTGGGGAGATGCCTCGTTAAAAACCTCAATAGGTAAAAACTTTGTGGGGAAAAATCCTAATGAGGGAAAAAGAGTGCACCGGATGCCCCCATAATGAAGTCAAAAGGCGAACCCTTCGGTCTGAGCTGAAGGATAATGCTGAGGCTGAGGGCCATTCATAGTACATGGAGAGTAGCCCCGAAAACCCGAGGGCCGCCTTGTTATGAGGGCGGTGATTGCCGAGGGCCGCCTTCGTCCCATAAAGGCTGGAGGGATTGCTTCTACTACATCAGAATGGAGGAGAATCCATTCCCGAGGGAGCTGAGGAACTACTTTAGGTGACACCCAAAAGTGGAGAGTGCTGCCCTTGAGAAGAGTGGGAAGAAGATAACAGCTTTCCCAGAGGGGTCCAACAAGCTTGCAACGATTAGGGGCTCCACTCTTCCGGACGATTTGTACGCCCTGGGCTTCTAGCGCTATCGTTTTCTGGGGGGAAAGGATGAGAAATACCCCCTGCTTGGTTGAGCCTTCGAGAGCACTGGAGGTGGTTCCCGAAGGCTTTACGCTTTTTGTACTTGGATAAATTTTGCATCATTTTTTCCCCTTGCCCTCGCATTTGACCCCTCGGTCTAATTTTTCATTGTTTTGCAGGTGCTAACATGGACGTGAAGTCTCTCTTCGCTTTGAAGAAGCAGAAGGCAAAGGCTCAGAAGGAGCCAGTCAAGCAGAAGCCCACCGAGGCCGTTGAGGAACCTTCCGCAGCTGTTGCAGGCGAGGCCGGGGGGTCCCAAGTCATGGTGGCTTCAAAGAAGAAGATGGCCGGAAAGGGGGGTGACCCCCCGGCGAAGAAGCACAAGGTGACTGATCCCGATAAGCAGCCTGCCTCCGATGAGGTCATCATTGTGGATGAGGGGGTTGGCTCTGCCCCCCTGCCTCAGGAGTTTGTTAATGAAGATTTCTTCGTCCGGGAAAGGCTGGAGGCTGTCGTACCGAGGGGCAGCTCTATTTTGGAGGCTACTTTAAGCCCCTCGGTGCTTATGAATCAAGTGATGCCCTCGCGCGATAGGGTAGCCCTCGCCCGATTGGACAACGAGGCCCTCAGCTCTAAGCTCCTCCTGAACAACGCTTTGGTAAGTTCCCTTTTTGTCCCTACTTTCATTTGTTCTTATTATGTGAATTATGTAACATGCCTGACCCTTCGTGCATTTTTCTTTTTGCAGACTTTGATGGGCCTCTGTGAGCAAGTCCGGAGGGTGGATCAGATTCTAAAGGACAAGGTTGCCGTTGTCGGGAGATAGCTAGCCTCCGGAGGAAGCTGGCCGAGGCGGAAGACACTCTCCGACTAACGACGGAGGGTGTGGAACAGCGGGTACAAGCTGCCAAGGCTGAGGGCATAGCCGAGGCCGGGGTGGCCGCTGCTGAAGCTGTCAGGATCGCTGCCGAGGAAGCCGAAAAGGCGAAGGCCGAGGAGGTGGCCAAAGCTGGGGGAGCTGCTCTTGAGGCACTCATGGTCGAGGGCTGGATGGCCGAGGACAAGAATGACTGGGTCTCCTCGGTTGTAGAGAAGAAGGTCGATGCCTGGGTTAGGGCCCTGGTAAAATGTGGGTGGCCGAGAAAGGCGACTGCTATTATTAAGGGGGTGAATTCTTCACCCAGCGCTTGATATACCGGAGGCTAGCCCGTCATTTTAACATCCCCCGGAGCAATTCGATCCGAAGGCGTATGGCCTCCCCCCAGCAGCCAGATGTGAGAGTCCCCCTCCCTCCGGGTGAAGAAAGGCCCGTGATTGAGGATTCAGAAATGATGGGGACGGCGGCGAAGATGAGGCTGCCGATGACGATGCCTCCTCCAAAGCTGGTGATATCTGATAATACATTGTAATTCTTTGACTTGTGATGTATAAACAATTTCCCCGGCTTTGGCCTTTATGTAAACGATTACAATTTTTTGTGAATGAATGCCTTCTGCTTTCTTTGTCTCCTTTGATGAATGAATGTGTTGTTGATGCCTTCGTTTTCCTCTTATGCTTTCTTTTTATGAATGTATGTCTGCACCATGAGTAGACCGAGGGCCAAGCATTTAGGACTTAGAAAATTTTCTAAGTGATGTTCACCTTTAGGCCCTCGGTTGAAATATCCTTCTAGCCGTATGTAATAGGTAGCCTTCGTCGCCTATCCTCGGAGGATTGTCATTATGGACTTAGCCATTTTTTGGGTAATGTCATGAACATGACCTCAGGTGATATCATCCCTTAATATGTGATGCCCTCGATTTGTATTAGTCTCGGGCAAAGTCTCCCTTAGCAGGGTATGATGGTGCTGGGGGCACTAAATTCATGGACTTAGAAAAATTTCCATAGAGTTTGCAACTAGCAGCCCTGTGTAGAAATGTGGAGTTAGTGAGCCTCCGTCTTACGCGTAGAATAGGAGCCTCCGGTGTTGATTGTGGTGCCGGAGACTATCAGAGTGTGGACTTAGGAAATTTGAGCTCATGTTTGTGAGCAGACGCATTCGGTAATATATAGTAGGCGCCCTCGATTCTTGTTGAGCATATGAGCCTTTGGCTTTGATGGATTGCTAAGTGTGAACTTAGGAACTCTATAGCTCAATCACCTCATAGTAGGTGCCCTCGATCCATGTTGCCTCCTCGAAGGCTATCCAACAGGAGCCTTTGGGGTAACCTCTCAAAAGATGGGCTTGGATGATTTCATCCTGATACATAAGGGTAGATGCCTTCGATCCATGATAACTTGGAGGGTGCTGCACAGTAGAGGCCTTCGGAGTTGACCTTAGAAATTTGGAATTCAAGCCCCCTACATAGAGTCGTTGCCCTCGGCGTTTGTTGAAATGCCGAAAGTTGTAGTATATTGGACTTTAACCAAATTCAACCCATTTGTATGATTAGGGCCTTCGGTGTTGAATGATGGACTTAGCCATTTTTTGGCAGTACTTGTTGAATAGTGGTTGGATTTGAAGGCAATCTTCATGTTGGCCGCCGAAGGCTGTTCCATTGTAAAATTGGTACTCGTTGATTGCTCATTTGAGTCTACTCTTCACTCCCTTTTCTTTTTTTTGGATCATGAAGGGAAGGCTTCAAGAAACTTGGTTTCTTGGTAAGGATTGGCCTATGCGAGAGGCAACTGTATAAGTTGTTGGTTCCCTCCTCGGGATTAACCTTCCGGATTTCGAGGGGATCGAGGGTCGTATCCTCGGCCCGAGACATAGTCTGTTGTCTACCTCCCCTTGGGGGATGGCACGGAAAGCGCCTCAGTTTTGAAAGTCGTTCCCTCAGCTCGAGACATGGTCTGTTGCGTGCCATTCCCTTGGGGTAATGGCACGGGAAGCGTTTCGTTTTGAAAGTCGAATCCTAGGCCCGCGACATGGTCCGTTACCTGCCATTCCCTTGGGGTAATGGCGCGGAAAGCGTTTCGAGGAAGGGTTTCATTTGCATATTAGTTGTAAATGGCTGGGTGCACTTGGTGCACCCGGGGCCGATGGGTGGTGCCTTCGGTATAGTTGCACCCTCACGGGGAACGACTTAATTTTTAACACTTGGTGTTATTTTTAACACTTAGTACCGAGGGGCCGCCTTTCAAAATCATCATGAAATAAGGCCTTGGGCCGAGGGCTCGCATGAGGGCTTGGCCGCTCATGCGTGCTTTGTGCTTGGTGTCTTCAACATATTTTTATTCTTGGAAAGTATGGACCTTGGGCCATTTGGGTAATACATTCATGAGTTATGAGGGCTTGGCCGCTCATATGTTACTGATAGAATTTGACCAGGTGGTGTATATTCCAATGTCTAGGGACCTCAGTCCCATTAAGTCGTTTTAATTTGTAAGTCCCTAGCTTGACGATGGCTGTCACAATGTAGGGGCCTTCAAATTTTGGTGCCATTTTGCCACCTTCGGTTGGTTGACTAGCTTCCCTTCTTCGGAGGACATAGTCCCCCACCTGAAATTCCCGGGAACGGACCTTGGCGTCGATGTAACCCTTTACTTGTCTTTGATAGTTTTCTGCCCTTAGGAAGGCTTGCTCTCGGTGCTCCGAGATTAGGTGAACGTCGAGGGCCATGTTGGCATCGTTGACCTCGGGTTCGTATTGGTCTACCCTTCGGGTTGGTAGAGTCACCTCCGTGGGGGCTTTTGTCACGCCTTCGGACCTATACGTACACGTCAACAACCCGCCGTACAATACGAATAGTCAACCGCAGTCTAACACATCCATATTATACAAGGCGTCTCGAATATCATTAACACGTAAGTCATCCATAAACATACATAATAAGCAATTCAATACACAGCGGAAAACATGGTTTTAAAACAAATGCCACACGGGGCAAACATGAGCATGCAGACTCTATAGTGAAAATATCCATGAGCATGTTTTATAAATGTTCAAAACAGAATGGAGGAAGCACGAACCAAGTCTTCACTCCAAGATGATCGCCCGAGCAACGAGCACAGGTAGGAAGCGCTAGCCTCAACCTGAAATGGTGGTGGGACGCCCCCCCCCCCCCCCCCCCCCCCGAAAGGGGGTCAGTACTATATACGGTAAAGTACTGGTGTGAATGACATCTAATAGATATACAACAAGTATTTCAAACACAAGACCCTCTAATAGGGTGATAATGTAATCTAGGCCGTAACCCCAAGTTTCCCTTTTCAAAATATACTTACTTTATATATAAAGTCAAGTAGTCGGCCCATAGGCCCAATGTTTGTTTACAAAAACATCAACCCAATACCCCGTGACTACCAGTCACGACAATTCATAGGGTTCAACCCTAACACATATGTTCGCATTTCTAGAGTCCAACTCAAGTACATCACCATGTAAATCATATGACACAAGTTAATTACTCCACCGTGCATTTGTTCAGTCCAACCCGAATACATCACCATGCACATCATAGGCTACAACCTCATGTCTCCCATGCATTTCTTGAGTCCAACTCAAGTACATCACCATGCATGTCATCAATCACCACTCCTTGTCTACCCATGCACTTCTAGAGTCCAACTCAAGTACATCACCGTGTCATGGCATAGGCCGAATTCCTAAGCAAACCTATGCCTAGAATTGAAATATCAATAATCTATTTTGGGACATCCTTACGGACTGCCCAATCATGATCTTAACATCATATTACATCAATTTAGTCATTTGAATCACAATCAAGTACATCACTTACAATCAAATCCTTAGATTCATTTCCTTAACAATTACAAACGATCATTAGCTAGTATTTCAATACTATTAAGATTATTCCTATCAATCATATATTCCATTTGTAAATCCCTACATATTTAGAGATATGTAGCAGCAACTTAATCTCCAATGTAATACATAAATAATCATTTATGTATCTACACAATTCACACGTGTGTAAAAATGCATATTTTACACAATAGTTCATTTGACTCCATTTTTATCAATATGATTCCAAATCATTTCCAATTTCACTCCTTATCTAATATATCAATATTTCATCAAAAATAAGTCATTATATTCCATGAAAACATGATTTAGACATTTAGGTAATCTCATGCTTAACCTACAAGTTGTAAGCAACTAGATGTCGATCCTCACCTCAAATGAGCTTTAAATTGTTCCTTCTCAACTCAATGCTCAAGCTTCGGCCAAGGAAGTTTGAGAATTGATTCCTTGTTTATAAATGAGTGTCAAACAGCCTCCTCAAGGTGCTAGCTCAACTCCTAACCGAAGACACAAAAACAGTCCCTAGAACGGGTGTTTTCCGGTGAATTCGTTCCCTAATTTTGAATACAAAAACGTAATCCGCGAGGTATCGTTTTCCTTCGATGTTTTGGAGGACTTAAACTGCTCAGATTGATGCAAACCGCGCCTCTATAGATTCCTTATTTTGAGAGCTTTATTTTGGCACCTAACACGCCTTATTTGGATGAGTATAGCTCCAGATACGAATCAAACAATGTGATGGACTTCAGCTGTACGGCCACCAGCGCTCTCCACCTCTCTTTTGTGATATGAGTTCTTATCCTTCTCTAAATGAGTGGGAGTGCGAATGGGGTGGGGGATTGTAGGAGCGTCTAAGACCCCTCAATGAGTTTAGATAAGTTGTGTGGAGTGGAATGAATTGGTATGATCTACATGAGATGTTTTTAGACATGGGTGGGGTCTCACTTTTGATCTCTTTTGTCATGTGCAGCCCTCAAGTCTATTATGTCCGACTCCCTCCCCCATTCTAACATTATTGTACTTATTTTGCAGGTTCTAGGAAGGTGTGGGGTGGTCTCCAAGCAACCCTAATTAATTTGGGGTCCAAAATATCTACCAATACTTCCAAAGATGGAAAGATGAGTCCTATTGTTTTATCTTATGTCATAGGATGTCCTTTTGTACTCATTCTAATTTATATAGACCAAGACAACTCCCTACATCATATTATTGATCTCCAATATGTGTAGGATCATCCCAATAATTTCTATGATGTATAATTATAATAGAAAACCCTACTCCCATTATTTAGCTTAATAATGCCAACGATGAGACCATAGACATTTGTATTCTTCTCCAATCATTCTATCACTTATTTATGACATTAATATTCATATAGCTGGGCTACTAGCCGTGTGGGTTACCCTCCAGTGGGTCTAGGACGTTATTCTTGAATAATTGTTATGTTTAGCAAGTTAGGCCCAAAATAACATTTGGGCTGCCCGACCGTTCTTACTTTGTATCGAGGGGCCACATATCTTTATTTAAGAATGTTGGGTCCCAATATCAATGTGATGGCCCAATTAATTATTTGGACGTCCATTACTATTATACGAGCCCAAACAGTAATATGATTAATCACCCGT